ATCTTTTTATTCCTCATTTGTGTGTGTGTGTGTGTGTGTGTATTTAAGATTTACTATTTGAAAGGTAGGGAGAGAGATTCTGTCTTGTTACTCCTCAGATGGTCACAATGGCTGGCAGGGACCCAAGTACATGGGCCCTCCTCTGCTACCTTCCCAGGTGCATTAGCAGGGAGCTTGATCAGAAGTGGAGCAGCTGTGATTCTTATTGGTGCTCTGATATGGGATGCTAATGTCACAGATGATGGCTTAACCCATTGTGCCACTATGCTAGATGCAGTATATCTTCATTTGAAGTGAGTGTTTTGTTGGCAGCTTTGTTTTAGTTGGGATTTATATTTTTATTTAAGTTGGGATTTATATTTTTATTTAGTTGGGATTTATATTTTTATTTAAGTTGCTACCATAGGTGATGGCTAAAGATAAAAATAAAAAGCCCCTTGGAGGCCGGCGCCATGGTTCACTTGGCTAATCCTCCACCTGCGGTGCCGGCATCCCATATGGGTGCCGGGTTCTAGTCCCGGTTGCTCCTCTTCCAGTCCAGCTCTCTGCTGTGGCCCAAGAGGGCAGTGGAGGATGGCCCAGTGCTTGGGCCCCTGCACCCGCATGGGAGACCGGGAAGAAGCAACTGGCTCCTGGCTTCGGATTGGCTTAGTTCCGGCCGTAGTGGCCATTTGGGGAGTGAACCAACAGAAGAAAGATCTCTCTCTCTCTCTCTCTCTCTCTCTCTCTCGCTCTGTCTATAATTCTACCTGCCAAAAAAAATAAAAGTCCCTCATATCCCCACCCTGGTCACTTCGTTGTTCCGAGGGAGTAGACTTCCATCTCAGGGCTGCTATGCTGATCCTAGAGCCATGGGTGAGCTGTTTTCAGTCCTTCTTGACCTCTGACCCTTTTCTCAGCTGCTCTTTCCACTGAAGTGAGCCAGAAATGTCTGCAGACCCAGCCTCTGCAGTCCTCCTCTGGGAGATGGGCTCAAGAGGAGTTTCTCCTTATGTTCTGAAGACCCCTTGGCTCCCTATAGGTGTGCTGTTTTGGCCACCTTGTCACCCGGCTGTAACATCCCTGGGGGACCAGCACTGAAGGCCTAAAATAGTGGGAGAAAATATTATACATTCAGGAAAGTGGTACATGCTAGTTCTGAGTGTGACTCGGGGAGGAACAAGGACTAGGAAACTTGTGTGAAGTATAATTACTCCAAAGGAATTGTATTTCTTTTTAATTGATATCATATTTATACTTATGGAGTACAGTATTATAATTAATACATGTTTACAATGTGACATCAGAGTAATTAGCATTTCCCTCTCCTTAAAAATTATATGTTAGGGATCTTCAAAGTCTTTTCCGTTAGTTATTTTGAACTGTCTAATCAATTGTTGTGGACTATAGTTACTTAGTTGTGCTGTATATAACATAACTGCTTCCACACCTGCCCCTCAATGTGTTCCATTATCTACCCTCTCACTGTGTCCCCTCTCTCAGTTCTTCCAAGCCTTTAGTGATTTTTATTCTCCCCATTCTCTGTGGTCAACTTTTTAAGTTTCTACAAACTAATGAGGACATGTGGTATTTGTCTTTCTTGCCTGGTTCATTTGTGTAACATAAAGTCCTCTAGTTCTGTCCATGTTGCTGAAAATGACAGCACTTTATCCTCTTTTATGGCTGAATTATATTCCATTCTGTATAAACACCATATTTTAATAAACCAGCTGCTTGTCAGTAGACATCTCAGTTGATTGCACATATTAGCTATTGTTGATTACTATGATAAATATAGATGTGTAGGTATCTGATACAATGATTTCATTTCCCTTGGACATATACCCGTAGTGGAATTACTGGCAGTTCTATTTTCAGTTTTTGAGAAATCTCCAAATAGTTTTTCCCTAGTGGCTGTACTAACTTAAATTCCCACCAACAGTGTATGACAGTTCTCCTTTCTCTGCATCTTTGCCAGCACTTGTTATTTTTGTCTTTTTGATGATAGCCTAACTGTACTAAGATAATATTTTGATTTGCATCTCCCTGATGATTGGTGATGTTGAGCATATTTTCATCTACTTGGTCATTTCTGTATCTTCTTTTGAGAAATGTCTGATCATTTGCCCATTTTAAAATCAGATTATTTGTGTTTATGATGTTGAGTTCTTTGAATTCCTAATTTATGCTGAGCATTAACCTCTTGTCAGATGAATAGTTTGCAACTATTTTCAACCATTCTGCTGTCTCCTCTCTGTTAATTTGTTGCTGTGTTGTGCATTAGTTTCTGATTTGCTATAATTCTATTTGTCTAGTTTTGCTTTAGGGATCCTATCCAAAAACTTGTCTATCCCAATGTCTTTAAGTGCTTCCTCTGTTTTCTTCTAATAGTTTCATTAGTTTTAGGTCAATGAGTTGAATTTGGTTAAACTATATTTTGGTATTAAAACTGTAAAGAGTGGGTTTTAGAACAATGCATTTACTTCCATTTTCTAACCCTCAACACATTTTCTGTAGAGACTCAGTTGTGTATCGTATGTTCTGGAACCTTGTCACTGTAGAATTCTTTCATTACTATTATGTATACAAATGAGAATCTTCTTCTCCATTTGCTATGCAGATTTTGGTCCTAATCATTTTTTCAGATATTGTAGTGACATGGCAATATCTTATAGTCTAAGGTCTAAGACTTTGGGTTTTAGGCTATTATTTTTGAATTAAGTGTATTAATGTGTCAAGTGAGGTAAAGGATATTGAAAGTGCTTTATAAATTGTCCAGTGGTATAAAGATACTGTCATTATATGTAAATAGCAAATTATTTTTTCTTCCTCATGGAAATTCTTTCCAAGGCTATTTGTTAGAAGAATGTGTGATGGTCTTGTGGTTTGGGTTTGTCATTTTTAGTGTTCCGTTGGTGGCTTCCAGACATAACATACACCAAAGAAGAGGAAAAATTCTTCCCAAGAACATTCCATGGTCTGATCTTGATTTTAAAATAGTTCTAAATGTAATAGAAAAAAGATTCATCAAAAATAGTGTAATGCATTTATAACAGTGCAAGTTCCAAGCTCAAGAGTCTGAGGACAGGGCTGAGGAGGTGTGCCAGAGAAAGACCATGGTTAACACAACTCAAGGTGGCTTCAACACCTGCTCTGGAAGGCTCCCACGGTTCCTTGCAGGTGGAGGGAGAAAAAGGCAGAGACAGCTGGAGCCGCCAGGCCAGGCGGAGGGGGCTGCTTTCTGTCCCCACAGCTGCTGCAGGCAGGGAGGATCAGCTGGTGGGTCTTTCTACTTAAATGTTGACCTTCTTGGGCAGCAGTAAAGCATGCCATTCAGTGGGAACCTTGTCCTCCATTGTGCAAACAAGGTTGGAATCAGGAAAACCCCTGAGCCTTCATTGCAGTAAGTGACTCCGCACGCTTGAAGGCCTCAGGAGGCTGTTTCAGGGAGGGAGGAGGAGGAAACAGAGGGAGGAGTAATTTGGTGAAAATTACACAGGGAGAAACATCTGCCTCAATTTTCTTTTAAACATGGAGTGTGAACTAATTACAAAGGGTGTGTGGGAAGTGAGTGAATAAATGTAATTGGTCTAATTCATTTGCACCTGCTTGTATCCTTTTGGCAGGAGCTGGGTGGGCTGGAGACATAGCCTGTTCCTCTGGGCCGGCAGCCTTCTCACAGACACGCACTCCCTGCTGCACCGATTTTCAATTTTTGGCACTGCCAACAGCCCGCCTGGTGTTTGCTTTTGGTATCACTGGGCACACTGTCCCTAGCACATGGTGGCTTCTGAAGCAGCAGCCAAGGTGAACGGGAAGAGGTAGCCTGTCCATGTCTCTGCATGGAGGCTGCTGCCCCCGGGGACCCTGAGGACGGGCAAAAGCAGGGAGCAAGGAGTGAGGAGGAAGAGGCACTGAATCCATGGTGCAGTGTTCACTCTCTCACCTGGTGATGCCCGCTGAGCTCCGATTCTGGCTCAGGCCAGGTAGTACAGTGGAGAACAAGACAGGCCAAGTCCCTGCCCGCATGGGACTGACTTTTGGGGGCTTAGTGAAGGGGGGAGTGGGGCACAGACCACACAGAAATAAGTTACAGGTGTAGTACATGGGGAGAGCGTGAGTTGGGGTGCAGAATGATGGAGGGGGGCAGGGAGCCATCTGTGAGCAGAGACCTGAATGCAGCGCAGGGGCCGTGGTGATGCTGGGGCAGGAGGGAGGGGTGGGGAGTGCAGGGGCCAGGACTGCACCAGAGAGAGCAGGTCCCTTGGTGCAGGTGGCTGAGAGTGACAGCCCAGAGGTAAATGATGCAGCCAGTCAGTCATGCTGTGGAGCAGAGGGTGGCGAGAAGAGGCCAGATGCTTCCTGCCTTGAGCCCAGGCAGCAGAGGCCTCCTGCCACTGCAAAAGGAGCCCAGAGGGAAAGAGGCCCTGCAGCACAGCAGTGCCTGCCTGGTCCCTGTACCAGGGCTCCTAGAGTTGCAGGAAGCAGGTGTGGGAGGCAGGGCACAGCCTGCCGAGCCCCAGCCCCTGGCCTGAACGCTTGATGGTGTGCAAGGCACTTGTGTGTTTCATCCCTGCTGCCGCCCTGGGAGCAGAGCTAGTGGAGCCAGGTCTCGTTCTGCCCGTCTGTGTTACAGGTGAGGCCTGAGCTGCTTCTAGGGGCCAAGGAAAGCTGTTGGAGATAGGATCAGGAGTGAGGGACACCGGCTTCTGCTTGGGCAAGGTCCGCGAGCGGCCTGGAGCGGGGGCTGGGGCGGAGAGCTTAGTGGTCAGCTTGCGGTCACATTTTTCTCTGACTCAGTGTTGTTTGTGTGACTTACACAGAGGTAGAGCGTTCCTGGTCCAGGGGACGAGGCTGACAAGTAGTTGTATTACCAAAACTATCTGGAAACGTGGCCTCTGTGTGGAGGTAGCCGCAGGCACTGCCTGTGTGGGGCTCCGGCCTTTGCTGGGTGGAGGGGCGTGGTAAAGTCGTCGGTAACTTTTGACAGGTCCTAATGAGTTACCGAACATTCTTTACAGCTTAGAGCATTCGCAGCCTCCAGGCGGCCTCGTCATCGACAAGGAATCTGAAGTTTACAAGATGCTGCAGGAGAAGCAGGAGTTGAATGAGCCCCCGAAGCAGTCCACATCATTCCGGGTCCTGCAGGAAATCCTGGAGTCCGAGGAGAAAGGTAAGGGGCGCTCCCTGTGGCCAGAGACTCTGTTCACAGGAGGGTGGAGGGGCAGTCTTTGCTGACTTTGGCGCAGGGGGTGCGGAGTGCTCTGGAAGGGGGGAGCTTTTAGAATGCCAGAGATTCCTGCAGAGAGAAGGGGCAGAGAGCTGTCCTCCCCACCACACCTCCCTGCTACAGAGGCTCCACTCCTGCTGACACCCTGACTCAGGTGCACGGGGCAGGCTGGGATTCCATTAGTCTGTCCCTGGGCCATCGGTTTGGTCTGGGCTCACACACTACACCTCTGCGGGGGTGATGACAAGTGGCCCAGGGGAGCCTGGCGCCCACTTTCCCTTTGGGACCCTATGTGTGTTCCAGCTTTGGGGCGGATGGCCTCTGGAGGTCCTGGGAGCCCCCGTGCCCCGTGTGGCCATGCCCTCACCCTGGATGTTTCTAGGCCAGTTTTCTCATCTGTTCATATTGGATAATTTTTCTTCTGTGATTCTCATGAGGATCAACTGTGCAAAAGCACCGTATTGGCCTGTATTCTGTGGATATAACAAAATGCATGAAGCTGGGTGTTTACAAAGGAAAGAGGTATCTTCAGGCTGCATTTTTGGAGGCAGACGGTTGAAGGCCAGGTGGCCCCGCTGGTTCAGCGTGTGATGAGGGTGCGCAGTGGCAGGAGTGCATTCAAAAGAGTTCTCAGGGTGAGACAGGAAGCCAGAGAGGGATTCAGGACCAAGCTTGCTCTGTAACATCCCTGTGGCTGGCGCACAGACGGAGCGTCCTAATTCTCATGATGTTTGAAACCTCAGCAGGAGGCTCCTGGGTCAGCCTTAGCTTGTCCATGGGGAGAACTCGATGCCTGCGGCCTCCCCAGGGCCACCTCTGTGGCTCTGCAGGTGTGAGGACACGACTGTTCTCATGGCAGACACCACGTACTGTGGATTTGTTATGAGGAGGTTCAGGCGCATAGTGGTGAAGTACCTTCATTTAATAGCCACCACAGGGCAGGAGACACGTGGGGCTGTTTTCCTTCTCCTGAAGGTGACCTGTGTATTCCCAGCCCTCGGTTTCTCTTACTCCATTTGCTACTCATCAGTGCCTCTTGGGCGTCTCAGGATCTGCCATTTCCGGCGTTGGGTTTTGCTGGTTCCTGGTGCCTGTGATGCCTGGTCGTCCACACTCTTTGTTCCTGTCCCTCACTGGAGACCTGCCTTCTGCTCTCTTCTCCCTCCTGTGCCTGGCGATTCTCACAGTGAGAGAGACCTGCCCCAGCTGGGGAGCTGTGCCCTGGAAAGGTGCCCGCCCTCCACAGCTCCCCCTGTCGAAGAAGACTTGGCTTTCAGCCTGAGCTGCCACATGCCACACCTGCACTTCCTCCCCATTTGTGCAGGTTCTTCAGAGAAAGTGGCCATATTTCCCTTAGTTTCCATGGATGTAAAGTACTTTTCTGCTAAGAGAGACATTGCTCTCATAGCCATTTCCTCTTTGCCTGGAGTACCTGTGTGGTTGGCAATTTATGACCCACATTTTTCACTAAGTGCCAGTATTAGGCTTGACTGACAGATGAGTTGGGGCCAGCCCTTGAGGAAGGCAGTTTGGGCAGGTGTGAGAAACCATGACTTATTTTACTCCAAGTGGATGTGAAACCGCAGAGGCAGAGTCAGTCCATCGCAGCCCACACTAAGACTTGGCTCTGTGGAGCTCATCTGGGCTCACGGAGGAGGACCTGCGCGTGGAGCTGCAGCTTCCCATGTTCCGTGGAGTTGAAAGTCCTTCCATTCTGGGATCCATCAGCCAAACCCGTTGCTGCCAGTCTCAAGGTTCCTTCGTGGCCCTAGGTGGCAGCCGGTGCTCCAGCCACCGTGCTCACTTCCAGGCAGGGGGAAGGAAGAAGGCAGACGGGAATACTTTCAGATTAGCCAGCCATCTTCCCAGAAATCCCACACTACTCTTCCATTTCCATTTTATAGTCACATGGCCACACCCAGTTACACAGCAGTCTGGGAATTTTAATCTCCTAGGGTGGTGTTGTCTTCAAGGAGAATTAAGAATTTGCTAAAAAGGAAGATGGCAATGGCAAATCTTGATGCTTTCCTCTTACCAGGTACTTGCATTAAACTTTCAGTGAATGCACCAGGACAAATTCCAGTCAAAATACTATCACATGTAGAAGGCTCTCTGGGGTTCTTTGAGAGGAAGTGGTCAGAGCTTAGGGCAGTGGCTCTGAGAGACAGTGACTGTCATTGGGAACAGCCTGTGGCTAAGGAAGAATGCTGGCATCTGCTCTGGCTACTGTGAGCCCCCTGGGAAGCTGCTGTCTCGGTGAGGTTGTTTAAAGGGCGAAGGGAAGCTGTGTGTGGGGTGGGCCAGGTGCAGAGTCGAGGAGGCCCTGGGAGGAAGCGGGGCTGCAGCAGGCTTTGGTGACAAACTTCAGACAACTCGGCTCAGGTTGTCTCATTTTGGGTGAACCAGGAGAAAGGGTCCCAAGTTCTTTAAATCTCATCTTGTTCTACGTCAAATTGTAAAATGTGTAGGCACATGGAGTCTTTTTTTTTTTTAGTATTATAGTGAATACACATGACATAAAACTTACCATGTTAACTGTTTTTAATTGTACAGTTCAGTGATATTAAGTACATTTGTGTCATTTCCCTACCATTCATCTCCAGAACTCTTCTCATCTTGCAAAACTGAAACTCCATATCAGTTAGCGCTATCTGTCTCCTCCCTGCCTTTGCTGGCCTATTCTGCTTGCTATGAATTTTAATACTTCAGATACTTCATTCAGCGTTTGTCCTTTTGACTGGCTTAGTTCACTTAGCATAACGTCCTCAAAATTCATCCATTTTGTAGATTGTCAATTTCTTTTAAAAGTGCAGTATTCTGTTGTATAGACTTGTGACGTTTTATTCATCTGTTCATAAGATGGAGACTTTTTATTTGAAAGAGTGAGTATACTCCCATCTACTAATTCACACCCCAAATGTCTGAAACAGCTGGGACAAGGAACTCAATGTAGATCTCTCGCATGGGTCACAGGGAGCCAGCATTGGGAGCAGAGTCAGGGTCTGAACCCAGCTGCTCTGATATGGGATGTGGTATCACAACTGTTGGCTAAGTGGCTGTGCCACGTGCCCCAGAAGGAGACTTTTTTTTTTTTTTTTTTTTTTTTTAGTTTTTATTTAATGAGTGCATTTTTTCACAGATACAAATTTAGGAATACAGATGTTCTTTCCCCCATACCCAACCTTCCCCCACCTTCCTCTCCCATCTCCTTCATTATGGTTCATTTTTAGTTTGACTTTATATACAGAGGACCAACTCCATGCTAAACATAGACTTCAACAGTTTGCACCCATGCACACATACAACATATAGAGTACAGTTTGGGAACAAATTTTGCAGTTGATTCTCCTAGTACAACTCATTAGGGATGGAGGTCCTAAATAGGGAGCAGGTGCACAGTGACTTCTATTGCTCCTTTAATAATTGACACTGTTATTTATGACATCAATGATCATCCAAGGCTCTTGCCATGGGCTGCCAAGGTTATGGAAGCCTTTTGTGACCATAGACTCCATCGGTATTTGGACCCGGCCACCAGCAAAGTAGATGTCCTCTCCTTCCTTCAGAGAAGAGTACATCCTTCTTTGATGACTCTTCCTTTCCACTGAGGTCTCACAGAGGTCCTCCATGTAGGATATTTTTTGCCAGAGTCTTGGCTTTCCATGCCTGAAATGCTCTCACAGGTCTTTCAGCCTGACCAGGAAACCTCAAGGGCTGATTCTGAGGTCAGAGTGCTATTTACAGTGAATGTCATTCTAGGAGTCTACTGTGTGGACTGCTTCCCATATTGGACTTTCCTTCCTTTTTAATTCTATTAATATCAGGCACTTGATGTTATTTATATGATCACCTTTACACTTAAACCCATCTATATGTTGACCTAAACATTTAATATGATCATTTTAACAGTTAAGATGGCATTTATACCACTGCTTTTTTGGGTTTGGAGTCCCATGACAAGTTTTTAGGATATACCCTTAGAAGTAAGTCTGTAGGACTGTATGAAGAACTGACTGCTTTACAGTTAAAGACTACTTCCTCCATCTCTTATTCCCCCTCTTACATATGACTAACTCTGTTATATGAAGAGTTCAGGATATAGTATGAAGAATAGAAAAGAAAACAGAAAAAAAAAGCCAAAAAGGATATACAAAATAAAAAGTAACAGTGATAAACTGTCCCTTGACAGTCAGGTCAAGGCCTGTTTAAGTCATTGATTCTAAAGTTTCAATTTCACTTCTATAGTTTTCATTTTAGGAGCGCTATTAATTCTCTGAAACCAGGTAGAACATATGGTATTTGTCTCTTTGGGACTGGGTTATTTCACTAAGTATGAGGTTTTCCAGATTCCTTCATTTTGTTGCAGATGACTGGATTTCATCCTTTTTTACTGCCATGTAATATTCCATAGAGTAAATATCCCATAATTTCTTTATCCAGTCTTCAGTTGATGGGCATTTAGGTTGCTTCCATGTGCTAGCTATTATGAATTGAGCTGCAATAAAGATGGAAGTGAAGATAGCTCTTTTGTTTACTGATTTCATTTCCCTTAGGTAAATTCCCAGGAGCAGGATGGCTAGGTCATATGGTAGGTCTATATTCAGATTTTTGTCTTCCATAGTGGCTTTACCAGTTTACATTCCCACCAGCAGTGGGTTAGGGTGCCCTTTTCCCCACATACTCTCCAGCATTTGTTGTTTGTTGATTTCTGTATGACAGCCACTCTAACTAAGGTGAGGTGAAACCTCATTGTGGTTTTGATTTGCATTTCTCTGACAGCTAGAGATCCTAAGTATTTTTTCATGTGTCTGTTGGCCATTTGGATTTCCTCTTTTGAAAAATATCTGTTAAAGTCCTTGGCCCATCTCTTAACTGGGGTGTTTGTTTTGTTACTGTCAAGTTTCTTGATCTCTTTGTAGATTCTATTTATTAATACTTATTGG